CAACCTTAGAAACAATATTTTTCTCTTTAGTAAAATTTGGGTAAACACTATATTAATTTATATATCATTATTAGTAGATAAAGATGAGTTTTTAAAGAGGAAGATATAGATAAAAGTCAAATATCTCTTATTAAAAAACATTAAAATTTATAAATTAATAATTATAAAAAAAACTACTTAGGATAGTTTTTTTTTTTTAACTTGTTAATCACAACTGGTATTAGATATGAGCCTTTTATTAAAAATTAACTTAAACTTGGACACTTGATCCATTAATATGATATCAATCATCTTATACAAGCTATATTTTTCTATATATATACAGATTAATAATAATCTATCATGACTTGTTCTAGATAAGCTTGCATATTACTCTGAAAATGGAGTAGATTTAGCTAGAGGTCAGTGGTTGATAATAGACTAACAGTGATTTTTGATATAGTTAGTAGATTTTACAATTGGTCTATATATGTTAATATTTACTTATATATTAGATGGAATCTGCAAGGATTAATTAATTATTCAGATATTCCAATACTTTTTACTTAAATCTTAAAGGGGATTACAATTTTCTTTACTAACACCTGCAACATTACAGATAAATTCTATTTGATAAGTCCTTTAATTAAGTGAACACTGGATTAAAATATTTCAAGCTAGAATGGTTAGGTCCCAGAGTTTGCCAGTACAGTTTTTGATTAGAGATTATCAGACAATTACCATAGTTCTAAAAGCAGGGTTTTGAGATTTTTTTTTTATCCAATTCAGGGGATATGCAGATATAAATTGTGTAATCAGACCAGAAACCTTTCTTCATGCAATCCTCACAATAGATCTATTTTAGCCCAGCAATCAATGAGGAGGTCAGAAGTCATATCTTTGTGCAACCTGATTATGTTTCTCACATAGTCCTTAAGTGATATTAAACTTTGGACCTTGCAATTGCAACCTGGGAGCACTACCATTGTGCTATAGACCTACAGGTCTAACTATCTAGAATAGTTTTTTATTATTAAAATCTTTAATTTATAATATTTTTGAATTTTATTTCTTTTAAAGTAAAGAGCTATAAATTTTGTTCCTCAAAAGGGATATAAATGATTTATAAAATTTTATATACTAAATAATTTAAAGACCTATCCTTCATTATAGAGTATTATTATTTTGTACTTGATCTTTTTTTTTTAATATAGAATTAATTAAAAGCTCTTAATTAATATATTTTTTTAAATTATAAATATGTATCATCTTTTTTTTTAATTATTATACTTACTTTTAATTTGTACTACTATTATTGTAATGTTGTTGATCAGATTTAAAAGTATTTATTATCATTTGTTGTTTCTGATTGGTTGAAAACCATATTTCTATTATTCCTAATATATTGATATACTGTTTGTGACAGAATTCCAGCAATGCTTTTTTTCCTATATAGTTTCTTTTAATTAGATTGATGAGTTAAGACAATCCATTATTTCTTTTATAGTTGTTTCTATTGTAGATTCTATTTGACTTATTCTTGCATTGATCATTTACTATTGTTATTTGTTGTTCATTCATTTGAATAATGGTATTCTGAAATAAATACTTCCTGAAAAAATTCCTGTTCTGATTCTAAGTTTTTAAATGCTGAACCTTTGGCTTTTGTAAGGAGTCCCATTTCTATTTTATGACCCTTTTATCTAGTATGCATATAATAAGTAAAGTAAAAAATGTTACCAGCCCTCAGGGATAATGAAATAGATAAGTTATGTAGCCAAAATATATAATTGATTAAATACTTATGCTTCTATTTTTAAAAGTTGATTTGAAATCTAGTTCACAATTGACTCTTTTTAGAATCTATCCAGTTATGTGAAAATAATATTCTTCATATTCTCTTACATAAATATCCAAAGGAATTTTTAATTACAATATTTATAAAATTTCATCCATTTAGTATGCCATTGATTAAATTATTCTTAATCTGAGGATTTTTTACTTTACGTCTTGTTAAACCTAGAAACTTTCTATCATCTGAAGTATTATCATTTCGTAAGTTATTCCATGCAAGTCATGCATTTGATGGCTCTTTTTCTTGGAATCGGCGAAATGCTTGTTGTATAATTCTTGCATATTCATCCTGAGATTTAGGTTTATCTCACTTGTGATCCCAATGTTTCTGCATCAAATCATCTGGCTCAATATTTTCGACATGATTTTTTTCTTTTTGGAAACCAACTCTTGTAAAGGAACTCTGACCCGAATAGCCCATTGTCGTGAAGTTTCATCGGGTCGGATAACTGATAATGTATCATATCATCTTTCAGTCTCATAAAGATCATCAAAGTATCGTTGAAAATCACTAATTCCACAATAGTTGTAGATATACGACGTTACATATTTCACATCATATCGAGGACGATTATTAATGAGCTTCACTGATTTAGCTTTTTTATCGATAATAGTTGTAATAGTAAGTGACACAATTGGTGATTTATATCGAGTTTAGAGATTTAAACCTATTAGATTTGGTTCGAGAATATATGATTCATTTTTAGTGCGAATTGGGTTATTATATGAGTTGTGTATAATCGTCATATTTTGCGAGTGATGTATACGATCCGCTGATAACAATGGTCGAGAATTTTCTTGGCAAAAGTGATTGGCGTGTCCTGCTTCGCAGAGAAAAATATGACATATGTGGGTGACTTAACTATAGGTACCACACCTTATCTAGCTATTTATTCCATAAAGCTGAAAAAACGAGTAGAAAGGAAGATATTGCTATAGTGAGGAATATGAAAAAAAGGTCAAAACTCTTGGTTCGGAAAATAATATTGGTGATCAAATGGCAAGAGCACAAATTTATAATGAGATGATGCCATGCCTACCTGGTATTAAGAGAGAGTATTTACGCAAGATGACCCAAAAAGCTAAGAATATTTATGCATTGTTTAGAGGAGTAGGAAAGGATAAAATCGGATTGATTACATATTACACTGATGCTTAACAGATTCACAAATCTAAAATATAATAAAATTCTACACTGAACAAATCTTAAAAATTGATCAACGTGAACACACGCATGGTCAACCGAAATCTGATATCAGATAAAGAAACTAAAGTATGAGAAGAAACTTTACCGGAAACAGAGGTACAGTAAGTACTATAACCACTCCCTCTATCCCATTAACCCATATCTCTAGTCACTCTTTGTCTTCCTCAGGCAATTTTTCAGGTCCCGATTATTTGCCAAAATCCAAGGTAAGTGCACCATCCGCAGTACCTATGCAAACTAAATCCCAACCTTAAATTTCTGTCTGTCTTACCTGAAGATCCGAAAAACATGTTATAAAAATGGCATTGGAACGGTTTCCCGTTTTATCATTGAAATATAGCAATGAATCTGGCGATTACTTTACTTGTTCAGAGATATGTCCCATATATAATAAAGATCATATAAAAGAAAATATAAGATTTAATGTAGAAGGTACTGTATATGGGATAGTGATGATCATACAATAACCTATCATCTCAAATGTTGGAAAGCTTATCAAAATCCAATCCAAATAGTAACTGTGGTTGGAAAAGCAATAAATTATACAGTAGCGGAGCTAGTACTAAGCACATAGTATGGTTAAAGTACTGCCGAAGTACTGTTAAAATACTTGAGAAACAAAATCCCACCTTCTCACAGTCTATTCAATTATATCCATTGTCGGGATAAATATCGTAGAGGCAATTCGAAGAATTGCCTAAAGGCTTGCTCTGCAATAAAAATGGTTGAATGGACCGATACTCAAATACGTATGAGCGTAGAAATTGAAATGAAGAATATCATAAAATTTGGAAGGAATCGAATCGGATTTTGGTATAGCATCGCAACCATAATTAATCAAGAACATAATGCGAGCTTTAATGGATATCAATGTAAAGAAAAGTTTATGAATCTTGTTCGGGATTACAATGTAAGTATGGTATATTAAGGCTCTAAGAGCATCGCTTCGCAATAGCTCTTTTTTTTTTTTTTAATTTTTTTGCTTAAATATTAGCTATTATGACTAATAATTTATGTCAATTAGTTGATTTTCGATTATATGGCAGGGAATCGAAGAGCACGATGAAGTCGAACGGGTGCACAATACTTTGATGAGTTTCGTACGAATTTTTGGAAGAGGCCTGAATATGAATTTGACAGAATCCGTACTATTAATACCACAAACCGTAGGCGAAATAAAGATGTGGGAAATATAACACCAGCACTATCTATTGAGGAAGTTTCATCGATGCTAAATAGGAATCGCCGTGAATCTCCCACTGGTCAAAGAGATCGATCCGCATCTCCGACCCGAAGAACTCCCAGCAGAAGAGATGAAACTATCAATCAGAATAATGCAAGTAATACAAATAATGCGGAGCCAATAACAAATAATACGGGCGGAAATTTAAATAATGCGACATATTCATCTTCATCTGAGTTAGCAAATATGACCTCAGATAACTGCTTCACGGAATGACAGTATGTCCAATGTTATATGGAAACTATAATGCTGAAAATGTAATAAATTTTACCCGAATATTTGGTTTCATGTGGATATGTTCAAAAGTTTATATGCACGATAAGAAATTCAGAGTTAATGAAAAATCACGACCATCCTCTTTAACACAGATATTTGATCAACGTGTGAAAATTTTTTTGCGTTTTACCTGTAATTAATGATGTCTTCCCTGAAATCTCGTTTAGACCTAGCGATCAATTCATACTTTGATAGTAAACACATTTTAAATTTGTCATATCTTGGTTTTCTAAAGACTTTGAAACGTTTCTGCATCTCAAATCCGAACTCAGTGAGAACCAAAACGCTATATTACGAAAGAAATATTTAGAGGTTTTAAGGAACCTTCTTACTGAAGAAGAGAAGCAAGAGATGCAAGATGAGCATATTAAGGAGCGATGTGAACTTGTAGAACTTCTTTTACAACAGGTCTCATGTTCTATATTGTATTTTTCTGAACTGTCATAGGCGATGATGTGCAACCAACAGGGTGTTGTAGGGGTGTCGTTCCTCCTTGCGGTGGGTGTCGTTCCTCGCACTTCGTTCGTCTGTTGCGGGGTGCTCGTGGGGTGTCGTCCTTACATGTTCATCTGTGGCGACAGTTCAATCTCATCGTATTGATCAATTCTAGTTTCACGCTATTTGTTAGAAAGAACCTGAAGTAAAGAACTTTTGGTGAATTGTTGAGCTGGAAAGAGAACTAGAAACTGAGATGGAAAATAAAAAGGTATCTTTGAATAGGATTCGTTCATTGCGTTAATTATATCTGTTCTCACTCGCTAGCTCAAATCTTTGCGTTTTCATCTTTTTTTTTATTGCACGGAGATTTCCCAGTAACTCGATCAAACGAGTATACTGCATTTCAAAAATAATAACAAAGTAATTTGGCTTATTATTCGGCTAGCTTCTTGAATTATGTCAATGTGATCTTAACCAATTTATGTGAAAAATGAATCGTGATGGTAAGTGTAAATCGTTATTGGATTATTTTTTTACATCAATTGTCAATACTTCCTTATATATGCAAAAATTCTGTATACATGAGTGGATAATTTATTTCGGAAATCGAATACGTATAGTAAAAGGCTGCGGGGTGAGAATCACTAGTTAGTAATAAAAGTCTAGACAAATTAGTTATAGATACTTTTCGTAAAATTGAGAGTGTAAAGAAATAAACTTGATGCCGGGACTCGCATTAAATGGCCTAGGATCCGCATTCTCCCTCCCTCTTTGATAGCATAGCATCATATATTTTACTTATTTCCGAAACTTTATTTGCTATTGAATTCGTTATATAACGTTAATTACATTTAGTACATTAAATTGTGTTAAAATACAGTATATGATTCTTGCTAATATTTTACACAATCTAAAGAGATCCGCGGAAATTTAGTACGTTTGCATAGATCTTCACCATCAACAAATTTTCTTTTACTACTTTCACGTTCATCGATAATACCTTTTGCAATTATTGGTCCCACTCTATCTATAACTCTTAATTCAAAAAATTTTGCTGAATTAACACATACTTTATCATGAGCTTAAAAAAAGAGGATTCTGTGAATAAACTGAGAAAAGAAACATCGAATTCTTTAAAGCTATATTATATAACTTACCGGCAGCAAATTGGGCCCGAGATGAATATATTTTTCCATAAAACTCAATAAAATTATTTTTGTCAACAATTGCGCATCTTGTTGGTAGTAGAGATTTGTTAAATGTGCTCGAACAGTTTGACAGGATTAACAACAGCCAGTTATCCAACCCAATCTTTCTTGCGAAGTCCTTAACTTTATTATATTCTTTACTAATCATCTTATCGTTAATTTTTTGTGGATTCTCTGATTCCAGATCTCGCCATTTCATTTGCAATGCCAATAACATTGGTTGCCCGCGATTAATTATTAGAAAAGAAAATCCATCACACACTGCGCCTTCACCATTTTTATAAATCTTATTATTATCGTTATGTGAAATTTCACATGATTGACCATTAGAATCTAAAACATTATCATCTGATGGGTATCGTCCACTAAGATAATGCACTTGAACTGAATTATAATCAGGGATATCCACATCCACGTCCATATCTACATCTGAATACAATGCTCCCTTTAGCAGTTCCTTTAACTTTATTGCTTTGTAACCAAGTACTGAAAGTAAGCACATGCGCAAGGCCCAAAAATTGACATTAAAGTTTTCCCATTGTTGCCAATAAAATTGTTCCTCGGGATTAATCATCAATTTCAAAAATTTATAAATTGATTGATCACCAGCGTTTTTTAACAAAAGCCACATCCAAATATATGGGAGACGTATATAAAACCTTGTACTATCAACTGGTTTGAGCATCAAAATGCCAAGGGATTTCGACATTTTGTATGAGACATACTTATTTTTATATTCATCCATGTAAATACCATCATTTTCATTAACAGATCTTTTTAAAATTGCATTCGCAAGCACCGGAGTGATTTGGCTTGCAAAAGTTTTAAAGTCATAGCATGAATGTAGCCTTTCCTCAAGTAAGTGCATAGTATTTACTAAATCGATATCTTCCAATTTATTCGTTTTTGCTTCGTCCCAAATTAATTCGTAGAATATCTCCAAAGCACGCACCTGACCACCTATATCAGCAATAATACGTTTGAAAAGATTATTTTGATAAACAAAGGTTTCATCAAATCCAAGGTTACATGCAATTAATTGCACATGCGATTCATCCAGTAATTCTAGTGGTAACTGAAGAGCTTGATGCTTGGATTTCATAATTATTGACTGGAGTGGACCCTCAATTGTTCCTGCCAAGATTGGAACGAAAAAAATTGGCCATGAGTCACAACTCATTTTGCCAATACTATCTACAAGACTGCGACAAGCTTTCTGATTCTTGTCATATAGTTTGTTGACCTCATCAATTCCAACAATAATTGCAAGTTTTCTCATATTTCCTCTATGCTTGCTTTCATGAATAGCTCGTAAAATAATACCCAGACCTAACTGCCTAGCATTTTTTCCGATATTTCGCGCAAACAAGTTGTAAGGCATGCTTTCATTACCATATATAAAGTAGGTATATAAAATCCTCAGTGCTAACGAAGCTTCTGCACCAATACCCACATCAAGATCTGAAAATTCAGATCCATTTCCATATGTAATACTCAGAAAAATTGCTTCTCCTAGTATAGATTTAATTTCATTATCATTTGATGATTGAGCCTTTTCACGAATAATGTTACAGATCTCCTGCAAAAATCGACTTTTTCCTGTACCAGGACCACAACCAAGGAATGGAATTGGGTGAAAATTATGATCTTTTTTTGGAATTGCACTACAATAATTTCTAAAACGGTTTAGAATCCCAAAATTATGGACTCTGTTGCCATACCAGAGGGTATTTATGGTGTTTTCACGACCACATAAAGTAAATTGGGCACCAAATAATTCAACAAGCAATGCTGGTTTTGCTCCAGTCACTCCAGTCAGGCTGTAGCTCTGTATCCATGCTAAAATCGAGTGCCAATCTTCAAAATTAACTTGAAGTACGGCTATAAATTTAAAGACATACAATTAAGATAAAAAGGTTAGCCATGGAATATTAATAGGTGGAAAAGAACAAACCTCATCCACCGAGTAAGAATTTAATTCGTTCTTGCAAAATATTGGGAGACACTTACCAGTGATAGTGGGCAGTGGCAGTTTCACGATGATGCGGATGTTACTAGTGGATTCGTGAAAATATTCTCCAACAGTTTTGAATGGAGATAACATTATACCTTGGTATTGTTCTTTGATACTTTTGGCATATATTTTGGTTTCTAGATCTTCATATTTGATAGGAATATTCACACTCCATAGCTCCAGATCGTTGGCGTCAAATTTGAAAAGGGCATTTTCCACCTTCTTTTTGATGAGTTTCTTGAAATTCCCAATGGTCATGTCTTCGTTGACATCAACCGGGAAAGAATTCCCAATGGCACCACCTAAAACGATGCAAAAAATATGAAAATTCATTAAAAATTAATATCATAATTTCTCCGGTATCGGATAACATTATACAAATAAGTTACGATGCCCCCAAAATGGTTAGAGTGTTTGAAATAAAAAAAAAATGGGTAATATGACGTATTTATAATTTCATTGTTAGTAATCTCATAACAATACATAAGGCTTGGGCTGTACGTTTATGTAATCCGATTTACCAAAAAAGCTATGTATAAAAAGACATAGAAAATATCGACGTACAGTATATTCGTAGTCAAATGATGTAAAACATTTTTTTAGCAATACGTAGTAACAATATCTCGCATTTACAGTATTTGGTGCTTGCCACTTCCATTAACCAGGTGGCCCTTTCATTAGCAGGGTATAAACCTTACTTTTACAAACGAGAATCTTTATTTACCCGTGATAATTAGGGATATATTTACATTAGCGAAACGTAATTATATTACTCA